TGCTGCAATCTAGACTGTTGGAGCAAAAGGAGAAACTAATGTACTTGCAAAGGGAGTATGAAAAATTGGCAAATGAGCATGAAAAATTGAAAAGCAGATATGAAACCTTAGAAACAGAAGTCTCTGTCTTACAAGTTGGAAACCAACAACTACAGCAACAATACATGATGGCCAAAGCTGCTCGATCTTCATCATGGAGAAAAACACTAGCCATTACATTTCTGGTTGCTAGCATTATGTATATGTACTCTATTCTGAACCAAAAGGCATGAAAAATTTGTTTTATCTGCCATAGTTGTAAGCAAATATATATGAAAGAAAATTATATTAAGTTAAAAGTATTTTACACATCAGATTACATCTTAGCATATGTTTGCATGGCCACCCAAACAAAGGCCGGTAGTAAAACCTAACCAAAACATGATAGTAGAACATGTCCAAATAATGGCAAAAGAAAAAAAAAACATAGGCCCATTTCTAACATTGTTGCAAAACAAGCAATCAAGTACTAGTAATGACAAAAACAGCAACATAATTTCACTGCACTACACATTCAGGTGTGCGCACAACTGTTGAACGTCCAGTTGCAGTTGAAGATCCTTGGCTAGAGAACACAGCTTCTCCAAATACTCTTGGTTTGAACCTATAGTCATGGATAAGCGGTATCTTAGTGCATCAAACTACTAGTAGGGGTGGTAGCATGTAAACATAGTCAAAAGACTTGAACTCACCATTCCAGTTTTAGCAGCACCTGAATTGCTTTTAGAACTTCCAGTTTTAGCATCACCCAAATTGGTTCTTGGTCTTTTAGTTGTTACTGTAGTTGTTGATTTTGAACTTGTACTTGGTAAGTTGGTGGTAGCAATAGCACTAGTTGTACTTAAATTGGCACCAGATGTAGGTGTTCTTGTCCACTGTATCATCAATAGAAATAAATAAGTGAGCACGTATAAAATGGCTATGCATGCAGAATTTTAAAATGTAGGCTTACCAGTTGGGTTGGTGGGGACTGGCCAGTCTTTGAAGTACTTGGAATCTGCATAATAAAGGCAGATTTTAATCAGTGCAAGTGTAACAAATTCAATTAGTTACATACAAATAAAAAAGGAACTCACCATGTTAAAGTCAAATGGGATATATGTTTTACTTGTTGATATCCTTTGGCCATTCCAAAGTCCAATGCCACATAGTGGGCCATTGTTATGGTTTGAACCCCTACCCTTACCTCTGCCTGTACCTCTACCTCTCATTTTAACTCTAGTTGGGCCTCTTGCAGTAGTAGAATTAGTTACATCAGCATTTTTCCCAACACTAGGAATCAAAATAGGCTCAACATTATTTCTAGAGTGGCCCTTACCAGCTTCTCTCCCTCGTTTAGTAGGTCCTTGTACCTTGCAATACATCAAAAAATAACAGTTAGATATAGATAGAAAAAACCCAAGCAGCATATATTGATTGAAGTTACCTGTGCAGTCATTGGTTTTCTTTGCCTCACAAATGAACAACCAGTGACCTTGCAACTTCTGGTATTGTGGTCAGTATGACCACAATGACTACAGTGAATTGGCAGCCCTACTTTAGACAGTTTTCCAACATGTAAGTCCTCCAATGGAGCCTTTCTTCTAACTTTCTTAGGCCTGCCTGGGGCTATCTTCCTACGAGGTGGGAGTAATGAATCATTGCATGTGTTCACCCAATTTGCTTGGTCTGGCATAGGCATAATAACACCAGCATATGCCTTTTTATATGTTTCCACTGAGTAGCAATTATCAACATATGCATATGGACTTTTGTTGTCTTGCACAAGTTCAGCACATGCATGGACACATGGAATTCCTATCATATTCCACTCATTACATGTGCAAGACCTTTGAACTGCATTAACAGCAAAAGTTCCTACTATACCAGTCACCTCATACACCTTTCTTGTAGACACAAGTGCATCAAACTGAGCTAATTGCTTTTTCTTCTCTTCAATTTTCTGACAAATCCTTGGACAAATGTGAGACTTCACCTTCTGAATCCAGTCTCTTTTTTCTTGAAACCTGCACATTATCTGCCTTCAAATGGCTTCAAACATAGTCAAATAGGCTCCTCCCTAGCATCCTTAATGTATTGATTGAAGCTCTCACATATGTTATTACTTAAAAGGTCACATTTTGTCCTTGGAGAAAAGGTGTGTCTGGCCCATAGGTTAGCTGGTATGGAACTGAGCTATGCATGTGCTTCTGGTGCTACTGTTTGCAACTCTCTCATTTTGCTTTCAAAGTAACTGGGTAAATAAGCCCTGGTTGCTACCCACATTAAATCTCTTAGGTGCTTATCCTTGAATTTTAGCTTGAAGTTAGCATACATGTGTCTAACACAGAATCGATGCTCCACTCCAGGATATTTATTCTCAATGCAATCAATTAATCCCTGACATAAAAACATAAATCACAGAATTAGTGACACGAGTGAGTGAGGAATAAAGGAAAGTAAAGCAGATTGTAATGGTACTGACCTTTTGTCTATCTGATAGAAATACCCAACCCCTTTCAAGTGGAGTCCCAATGGCATCAGTAAGGCTGTCCAAAACCACCCCCAACTATTTTTGCACACAAACTCAACAAGAGCCATAGCAATTGGGAACATCTGGTTATTAGCATCCTTACCAATTGCAGACATAAGCTGCCCTCCCATGATCCCCTTAAGGGGACATGCATCCAGCCCTATTACAAGCCTACATGCATTTACAAAACCTTCCTTTTGTGCAGTAAACATCACAAACATTCTCTTGAAGATTGAGTTTTTACAAAGTTGGGATTTTTCAGTTACAATAAATGCCACTGAACCTGGATTTCTTTGAAGAAGTATAGCACAATAGTCTCTTAATTTTGCATACCGCTTTGCACATGACCCTTTCATTGCTTCCTCTGCTTTCTCTTTTGCTCTATACATTTGCGAGTTTGTACAGTTCAGATTATACTTCCTTTTTCCTTTTTATGCTCTTCTTGAACCCTTTTACTTTCATACTCGAATGGTCAGCAATCTCCTCCATAAACATCTTAGACAGCCATCTAGAATTTGCACTCTTGTTCTTGAAAGACCACGGACATTCATGAGGTAGGCCTTTAATGGACTTCACTTGAAGTGTAACTTTGTTTTCATTATAGCCACTAGCATATATTCTCCATCCACATTTATTTGGACATATAGCCACAGCTTTATCTTTGTCATTCTTAGTGAAGGTAACTTCAAACCCATTCAAAATTGAATACATTCTAACTGCAGCTCTAAAATCATAAATGTTGGTTGAAAATTCTGCCCACAGTCAACTCAGGATTTTTTAGATCTCTTTCCATGTTAAACTCAGGAAATTCATGCTCCATGGCTTCATCATTTGAATCATAAACTGGTTTAAGTATTTCATCATCACTAACATCTGCATTATCGACCAGTTTTCCTTTCACTTTGGAGTTAAGGTATGCATTATATTCTTCACTAATCAATTCCACATACTTAGCATAATCAGGTTGTTTTAGGTGACAATCTACTTCACCAACATCCCTCTCTACATCATCTATAGGGTCACATGCATCATTTAAATCATCCCCATCTAGGAAAAAATCAAAGTCAGAGTCATATTCAACTTCCCTACAACCATCCCCATCACCTTCCTGTGAAGCATCTGAAGTATCATTTTCGGCCTCATCATTTTGGGGTTGTTCAGCATTAGGATTTAGATTTTGTTCGCCATCAACCTCAATATTATCTTCTACCACAATTTCATCAGCATGCACATCTTCTTCAGGGATCTCACCAACATAAAGTTGTATGATCCTTTGAGTTCGATTTGTCACAAATATTTCTAGAACTATCTGATCACTATTTAATAGTTTAAGACCAACCTGAAAGTCAAGATTCCCACTCTGTAGTACACTGATGTTTCATGTAGAATTCCAGCGTCTTCAAAAGCATCTCTTAACTCAAAAATTGACATCAAATCAGGGTCAACATCATCAAAATTAGCAACTTCTCCTCCCCCCCACATACTGTAAATTTGAGACATGGGCAAAATGGCCTCCGTAGTGAATCTCTAAAACATAGGTTTTAAAATCCAATTTCTATAATCACACAAAGGCAACTTTTTTAGTGCATGCATAGGTAATACAGAGCATGCATCTTTTATTGTCCCACAAAAAAATAATCCTAGTTTGTCTATCTAACACCAACCAAAATAAACAAATAATCCAACAAATTAATAATTAAAAAGACAAAAATTGATAAAAACACATCGTTTTCATCCTAACCCAACAATGACATAGCATATCTTCAAGGGACCACACCAACAGATGATTCAAACAAATAATTGTCTACCACATTAAAGGCCATAAAGCCACTAAAAAAGCCCATACCGTTGTTTCTGTGCAATACAATTGGTTAAAAACTAGAAATTTCTAAAATCGAGAAAAAATTGCAAAATCAAACCTTAAGGGATGCCCAAGCTCTCACAATCTACTTTCACAATCTTCAAATTCAATTCTGCCGTCTGTTAACAAGTTCATTGATTGCCCCTTTTTTCCATTTAAGATGCTGGTGAATTTTCAAGTTTTTTAATGGAGGTTTTGCTAAGGATTCAGCCAAAGGAAAAACTGGGTGACTGACAATGGCAAAAAGGAACAGAGGGTGACCGACAATGAAAAAAGGGAACCTTTTGTCTTCCCTAATTTTTTTTTTTTGTCTCATGCCAGATAGAGGGAAATTTCCCTCCATTATTCTAGGGTAATTTTGGAAACTTGTATTTCATAAATCCAGAGATATGAGTATTTTTGGTTGTTCATTATTTTCATAAGGATATTACTATCTTTTCAATATTCTGTTTATCTCCATTAGAGTTGACCGTTAGTCGTTGGGATAAACTGAGGAAAAATAAACATTGGGGGGTAAAATGAGAAACGACCTATATTTAAAGGGGATAAAGTGCGATTAACCCTATTTTCAATCATCCGCGTTGAAATCGCTCTCCCGCCACTCTCCAGCTCTCTGCTATCAGAAAACTCTGTGGAAATGCTCTGTGATTTTTTCCTTCTTGTTTTCTAACTTTTCTTTGTTTGTTTAAGCTGTGTGAATTTATTCAGAGTTTTTGTTGAAATCTTGTGTTTGTTTTGTGTCTAGAGCTGAGTATAAAATGGGTCCTGGAACGGAAGTTAGCCTCAGCAGAGTAATGGTGTTCTAAGTCGTGCCCGAAAGGTGTTTGAAAAAATGCTCAATTGGCAAACCGTTGGTTTATGTGTGAAGAAATGGTCCTCCAAAAACTTGTACTGGGCTGATATTGGGATCCATTTTGGGTAAACAGAAGCAGAGGCTGGAATGGTGGTTTCTACATGAAACTGGGGAAAGCAAGCAAACACAGTGGCAGAAATTTGGGCTATAATGCAGGAAATGAAGCTGGCTTGGGAGAAGGGGTTCAGGAAAATCTTCATAGAATCAGACTCACAAACTGGAATGAGATTAATTGACGAAGTGCTTATTAATAGTCCACATGTCAACCAAATCAGATTGGCCAGGAGTTGGGTAAGTCAAGGCTGGGATTGCAGACTCAATCATGCATGGAGGAGTGCAACATGTGCAAGGACAACCTTGCCAAACTCAGCCTGGGAGCACTGCTGGAGGTGACTGTCCTGGAGAACCCAACCCCCCCCCCCCGGGGCAGGGGGGTCTTTGCATAGCTTATTAGGATTTGATGTAATTAGTGTAGCAACACCACGTGTAGCTGCGGTGTAGATGGGTTCAAACCAGCCTTTTGACCAAAAGAAAAATGGAAGCAGAGGCTCCTAATATGAAAGTTTGCCAACATACAACTGTTGTAGCTGTTCTTTTGATTGTTTATGGTCAATATTGCTAGTATGTTGTGAACCCATCAATGTAGGATGGGGTTTGCTGTGATCTAATAACGGTACCGTATTAGAGAAGTAGGAAGACTTTTTGTGGGTGGGGTGTTAGGTGATGGGGATCATGGAGTGGTGTGGGGAGATGGGGCATCAAGGAGAGAAAGAGGTGTGTGGGGAGAGATGTTACCTCTTGATTTTCCATCCAAGTAGAAGAACAAAAAATGTAATCTTTTGCTCAGTTTCTACTGCTAGTAATAAATAAATAGATATTACTTGATGCTTTCTTATGCTTTTCTACACTACTAGTCTCTGTAACTCCCTGTTGAACCCAGCATTTCATTCAGTTATCAGCCAAAAAAAAAAAAGAATGTTGTTTGAAGTTAACAATCAAAATTTAAGAAATTCTTTGCTTCTATAAAATTCTAAACTTGTTGGTATTTCATTGAATTTCTGCAGTCTTTAATTCTAGGTGAACTCAGATGATCAATGGACTTCAGTTTTTAGCTTCTCAAGCAATATTTTCCTACTTGAGGCACACCAGATAAACACGCATGCACACAGAGATGTATTCATGTGCTTTCTGTCAAGTTCTTTTTGTTTTAATGACTAAAATTCTGTTATGGGTTTCTGGATTTATGATTTTAGAGAGAGAGAGAGAGAGAGAGATGTATTAATGCGTTTTCAATCAAGTTCTTTTATCTTAGAATTGTTAAATCCATTAATGTATTTCTGAAAATTTATGCTTCTGGTCTATTTTTATTTTGCTTGATATGTTAGTTGCTTGACCTCACATATTTACCAGTTAGTTTTATCTGCATAACTAAAAAGTGCTGACATCATTTTCTTTTACATTTTTGTTTTTTAAGAAGAAAGGAAGATTGAGAAGGTGAAATGATGCCCTGCCTTGATGTTCCTTCTTTTTTAGTCTATTTTCAACTTTTTTTTTGTATTTTATTTATCTTGGTTTTTCTTTGTATTTAGTTTGCACATTTGAAGATATTGAAATAATTATGATTTTGTTTCTGTTAAGTTTTCTAGTGTTACACCAAAAGTTGTTTCTGTATAAAGTACATCATAAGTTCTTTTCTTTATCCAAATCAGAGGTAACATCGGACTAGTGTTACTGGAAGTCTCTGGTGTCATTAGTGTGCACTTTTAAGGAGTTAAACTTGTAAAGATATGCTTACTATGGGTTTTTGTTGTCTCTTCTATTTTAGAGCGTGCCAATATACGGTTACCTTATCTATGCATGTGTTATGGTTGTGTTTTATAAAGAAGAGGTGGCTACATTTATGATATTTCTGCTATTTCTGGCGTTTTGGTATTCGGTTAACTTATGTATAAGATATGGTTGCCTTTTATATATAAGATGTGGCTATGTTTATGATGTTTCATGTTGCTAAATGCTAATGCCCAAGCATGGCCAGTATTTGCATATAGAGGTTTAATTGAGCTAAGTTAATTGTTCCCAAAGTTGGATTGCATCGAGCTCCTAAAGTTGGGCTAAAGTTTGATTAATAAGATTTTTAACCTACATGAGGTCAACCTCACTAATCTCGAATACAAGTCAAGGTTGATGGAGTCTGAGTTCAAGCCCAATCGAGCTCAAGTAGTATGGATTATTAACTTTTAGATTGGCATCAAAATAATAAAACTAGCTCAACTCAAATGCCCCTCATACTTGATTCTAGCATGACTTGAGCTTTGTCAATGCTAAGTCAAGTTGAGCTGCTGACAAAACTGCTTGCGCGTTGTTTGTGAGCAAGTTGGTTCGACTGTCCCCATTTTGGACATGGGTAGGTTTATTAGGATTTTATTGTTTAGCAGTTATTAGTGTTCAAGATGCTATTTTATTATGTCTACTGGAGTAGTAGCATTTAAGACACAGTTGAAAATTTTAACTTATTTTCACCTTCATAAACTCTTTTAGTCCATGTATGGTTGCTTTAGACTAAGCTGTGTAGGTTTTTAAGATTATCTTGGTTTCAAATCTTGTCGGAACTCTTTGTAGCTGATAATCTGTAAACACATTTATATTCTTTGAAGCAGCTATCCTATCCTTGTTGCTTCTGGTCGTTTTTTGAAGTCAAATGTTGCTAGGGCAATTAGTAATTAACAATGTACTGCCTGGATAATTGAAGATTGATTGAACTGAATGAAGTATATGTTGTTTTTTGCTTGTAGCTTTTAAGCCCGTTGAGTAGTGTCTTATCATAGTTGCACTAGCAGTTTTGTATCCAAGAAGCAGACTTCCGTTCATATGGATGTTGCAGCCAATTAGAAGTTCTATTTCCAGTGATGAATCTTCTTTTGATCTCTTACCTTTTGTTAAAACAGATACCTCATGTGTGCTCTTAGGTTTTCCTGTAATGCTTAAATGAACTACTCCTCAACTATGTCAATGCCGTTCCTCGTTTTAATCCTAGAGGCCTTGTTCTATCCACAAACCTTCCTGAAGCTCCAAAGGGCAGCGCAATACCTTTTTTCTTAAAAATTGTTTGGAGACTGGACAAGCATTTTTGTTTTTCTTGATTTACTGTGCCATTGGTTTTGGGTTTCTAGGGTATTTACACAATGAAATTTGTATCAATTTGGGTTTATATGGTCCAGATATTTATTATAATTCATGAAATCCTTGATTAAGGGTTTATTCTTGTATCATGTAATTGAAGATGCTCTGACACTTCGATGGTTGGAGTCCTTAAATATTCCTTTGCACAAGAGTTATCTTCTTACCATGCATTAGGTTTGTAATGTTGATAATATCAGTCAGAGTACTTGTAAGGTTTTGCAGATGTAACCAACCATGCTTGTTTCTGTGACTTAGTATCTCTTGGATATTTTGTGCTCCTTTGCTAATGTTACGACCTATCTAAGTTGTGATCACTTGATATACAATGTCCTTCTGTGTGAATTCTGTTCTGTGTGTCTCAGTATCCAAAATGTTGGTCAAATGATTCCTTTAGATGCTTATCTCTTTGTTCATGAGATTTGATCAGCCTGCATATGACTAGGTAGGTGTACATACTGCTGATAAATTAGATATGGGTTAGCCGATTTTTTGGAGTTACAACATTGGTGGTATGGGGGTTCCCTGGTTCATTCTACTTTGTGATTAGCTCCTAAGGTTGTCTTGCACAAATCTGAAAATGTGCTACGGTATTTTGGAATCTATGATATAGTATGGTGCAGATTGTTTACCTTCTTGGAGTATAGCAGTTCATTTGGTGGATCTCTCTTTTGGATCACTCTGTAACTGGTCATTTTTTCACGCTTGATGAGCTTTTATTTTATTTTTTCTTTCAAGTTTATGCCTTTTGGATATGCAGCAATTGTTGCAGTTTATAAAGTCATCCATTGGATGTCTTGGACTTGCCAATCAGCAAGGACATAATTGCTATTGCTAAGTGGTATCAGGTTTGTTTAGTGCAGTTCATGTGAATATATAGACCTGCTTATCTTTTAGTGCTATAATGCCTAAGTCAAGAAGTCTCAGATGGCATAGCATATTCATTAACAGATCTGGAGGAATTTTAATTGCTACAACAAAATTGTATATTCACCCAGTCATTACTCTCCATCTTTTTGTCTATTGAATTTGCTATTTGGTAATAAGAGCCCTTGCTTTTTAAACTTTGCCTGAATTTATTACAAAAGAATTGTTTAACCTACCATTGGATTGTTATTTCCTTTCCTCGCTGAATTTGTCGAAACCAAACATGATATTGCTGGTGGGGTCCGTTGTTTGTTTGGATTACAAGGATATAGTATGACATGTATCATACTCACTGTTGTCAATTGTAATCATTATTTCGTAACCGTCCTTAACCTTTTGAATAGTGCTTGCTAGAGGAGCAAGCTAAAGTTTTTTCTTGTTGCGTTGGTTGTTTGGATTACAGGGATATAGTTTGACATGTATCTTTTTCACCGTGTTTTATTTGTCATGATTATTTCATAACCGTCCTTAACTATTTGACTAGTGCTTGCTAGAGGAGCACTCTAAAGTTTTTTCATGTTGAGGTGGAAGACTTTTAGAGTGGCCCTGGACGGAAAACGGCTGTATAACCAAGAGTCCTCCCTCTTTGAATCGCTTACGTATTTCCTTCTCTTGAGGCTCTTTCGTCTCTCGCGTCAGTTCATGAGGTAAAAACTACCCTTTTGCTGCTTCTCTTTTTTCTTCTAAATGATTTGATTGTTCTATCTGTCTTCCTTGTTTTCTTTAGATTTCCTTGTTCCTTTTGGTGTAGATTTGTTTCCATTTGATGTGAGTCTTCTTGATTTTATATGTTGATTTCTTTTTCCGGTGTGATTTTTTATTTTTGATTTTATCTGCGGGAGGGAGGGGAGGGCGGGAGGGAGGGAGAGAGAGAGAGAGATATTTGTTTCCATTTGATGCGAATATTATTGATTTTATATGCTGATTTCTTTTTCTGGCGTGATTTTTTATTTTTGATTCTATGTGTGTGTGTGTGTGTGTGAGAGAGAGAGAGAGAGAGAGAGAGATGGAGGGAGGGACGAACAGGGGAGAATCAGAGAGAGTACTTATCCTCCCATGAGTTGTGGTCCTAGTGAGAGAGAGAGGGGGATTTATCTACAGTTATGCTCTCATGATGTGGTGATACCACATTGATGGGATTAAGTTTTGTCTACTTTTTACTCATCCTTCTCCTTCATTTCCTTTCTTTCCTTCCTTTCCAATTCTGCATCTGAATATTTTTGCTCCAGTCTACTATGCAGGATGCAGTGAGACCTGTATAAAAGTTTTATTGAGGTGCAGGACATTCCTGCTGAAATCCTAGTGGCATCAACCATTTTCTTATTAATTTAGCACTTGTAACATGTCTGTGCTTATGCTTCTTGTTCACCCTCCTTTGGGAAGTTGGGGAAGGAGTTAGCAGGCTTTAGTGACTTGAGACTCTTCTGTGCAATGAAATACTGCCTTTTTAAGTTACGGGGTGAATTGCATAAGATACCAATCTGGTCAAATGGAGCTCGAAATTGTCAATCTAGCACAATGCTTTCATATCAAGATATTACTGAAGTTAGACATGCCCCTTTATTGGTTGTTGAAGAGCCAGAACAGTTGAAGATTAATGCTCAATCTGGTTTTTAATTTTTCAAACCTGGATATTAGATTTGTCTCCATCTTGTGTCGTTGTACTGCTCCTTAAGCTCACTGTTCTGTATTTGTCATTTTTTTGGGAAAGAGTTTCTGTTTCTTTTCTAGGTTTTTCTGGGTCTTGAACTGTTTTGGATACCAAGACATTCTCTGTCTAAGCATATTAACATTTTGAGAGAAATTGTAAATGCCACCATACAGGAAAAAAGGAAAAGTTACAAAGACTGACTCACCCAATCTTGTGTAGTGTCTTGGAAGCTGCCTTGCTACAAAGAGACCTGTGAGAATAATTCTATTATAAAAGAACAGGGAAATAAGCTTTGCCAGATGAGTTAACAAAATGTTGCTTAAATAAGTAAATTAGTAGGAGTTGCAATTACAGCTTTCGGCAATAGCTCCTGTATCCCTACTTTCTCTCTTTCTGGAGATAAGTTTTGTTTCTGTTGTGAAGGATCATTAATAATTTCTGTTTTTCCTTAAGTGTTTTGAGAAAATGAGGTAGAAAGGACTGACAAATACTCTGTCACTGAGTAATGATTGGACATATGATTGCTTTTGACTTAATACAAAGTTGTAGAGCTTGGTAGAGCAAAATTGGAGTAGAGTCCCCTTATTGATGTGCCATATTAAGCCTTTCTTTTTCTTGCCAAATGAGTCTATAAATGGCTAGAACAGAGTCTGTTGTTTTAAGTGTTCTAGTTGATCAATGTTCATTCATGTAACAAAGCTCTTTCAGAAGTTTGCTTTCTGCGATCCTTGTTGCTTCTTACACATCACATTTTCTCCGTGTTCTCATAAAGGAAATGGTTAGCGAACTTTTTAAGACTAAAAAATTTGAGAATGCATTTTGTTACTTGTAACTAAACTTTTGTAATCAATTAAGGATTCAAATTAATGTAAACATTTTGTTCATGTTTTAATTTCTTTATATGTGCTTAATTTCTCTAGGACTCCTTGTCTTTCTCATTTTTGTCTTGAACTGTTTGTTGCTTTGCTTTATACCTCACCAACAACTTTATTTGAACAAGATGAGCATGTCTTTATGTTCTGAGTTGCCATTTTTCTAATTTATATGATGATATACTTTAACTAAATCTCTCTTGGTCTTGGTTGTATATGTAGGTAAACCATGCTAACAAACTCAACCAGCACATTGGAAGAGATTCAGGCCTAGGACTTTATCGTATATTACAACTTCTATTCATTGTTCCCAAGAAAATTCTGTCAATTGGAATTCTACTTCAAGTGGAGTATATACTTCATAAAACCAACATTTTAGGGGGCAAGTGGAGTAGTAAGTTGAAAGCCGCTTTTGTTTTGAGATCTTTGCTAATTGGGGAATTTGTGCGTGTCAGGGGTTTACATAAAACCAAGATAATGGCTTCAGATGACTTTTGCTTTAGAGTTCAAGACCATGGCACTGCTCTTACAGAGAAGAAAAACCGAGTTAGGTGCAATCATTGTGGAAAAGAAATCAGCGGGTTTAGTCGCCTTAAATGCCACCTAGCAGGATTCCGGCTTAATGTAGCTTCTTGTTTGCAAGTTCCTCCTAATATTAGGGAAGCATTCTACAATCAAATAACTGAAAAGAAAAGAGGGAATCTTAGTCAGGAAGTGGGGGAGCATTGTTCCTCTAATATTCCTTCAAGAAGAGATATGTTGCTTCTTACAGATTCTGCTAAGTCTTGTGATCCAGAGCTTACTCGAGCTTCCAGCATGGGAAGCGAAAAAAGGCTGAAGATTGGATCATCTTCAGGAAACCATGGAACAGTGTCAGTTGCTCTTACCAAGGCCAGGCTTGATTCTCAATCAGCTGTGAGTACCCAAGTTTTCTCTGATAGGGAATTCCAGAAGAAGGTTGGTAGATTCTTTTACGAAGCAGGAATTGAGCTGGATGCTGTTACATGTCCTAGCTTTCGGATGATGCTGAATGCCCACTTTGGTTCTGAAGATATAGCTTACCCAATTCCTAGCTGTGAGGATTTAAGTGGGTGGATTCTTCGGGAATTAGTGGAAGAGATGGAGCTGTATGTGAGAGAGATTAAAAGCTCGTGGTCAAGCACAGGTTGCAGCATCCTATTGGATGGGTGGGAAGACTTGACAGGTCGCAGACTTGTGAATGTTCTGGTGGCCTGCCCAAAAGGCACAGTTTATCTTCGATCAGCAGACATCTCTGGGTTTGATCAGGAGATTGGTTGCATGTTGGGGTTCCTTGATGATGTTCTCAAGGAAGTTGACGTTCAAAATGTAGTACAGATCATCACTTGCTCCACTTCATCTTGGATGAAGACTGTTGGCCAGCAGGTGATGGAAAAATATAAGACGGTTTTTTGGACAGTTTGTGCATTGCATTGTTTAGAACTTACGTTGAAGAAAATGGGAGCAATTGATGCAGTTAAAGCAACACTGGATAAAGCAAAATCAATCACAAGATTTGTGCACAGCGATGCTACTATTCTAAAAGTTCTCAGAGATCACACTTCGGCCAAGTACCTGGTTAGGCCATCCAAGTTCAAGTTAACAGAGCCTTTCTTAACTCTGGAGAACTTGCTATTTTTACAAGAGAAGTTGCAGCAGATGTTTCTTTCGACTGCTTGGAAGACCTCGAGATATGCTTCCTCAGTGGAAGGGAAAAGAGTGGCTGAACTGTTGGCTGATAGCTCTTTTTGGACTGGAGTGGAAATGGCAGTTAAGGCGACCATACCTCTTGTGCGTGTCATAGAATTGATAGCCAAGAACAGTGAGCCACAAGTGGGTTTTATCTATGAGACGATGGATCAGGCCAAAGAAACAATCAAGGAGGAACTCGATGATAAAGAATCCATATACTTGCCATTTTGGAAGGCAATTGATGACATATGGGATGGATCTTTGCACAGCCCTCTCCATGCTGCAGGATACTTTTTGAATCCAAAGTATTTTTATACTAACGATTTCTATGCAGATTCAGAAGTTTTGAATGGCCTTCTGTGCTGTATTGTGCGTTTGGCTGAAGATCCTAGGCTTCAAGGGGTAATAAATTCACAGATTGAAGAATATCGCGGAGCAAAGGGTCCTTTTGGTCTTGGACTTGCTCATCTGCAGTCTTCTCCAGGTAATATCACATGCTACTTTAGCTATTGTGATTTGTATTTGGGACCAAATTCAGTTATTTTTATCTGTAAACTTTGTTGCAGGTAGTTGGTGGTTAGATTATGGACATGGATGTCCTCAGCTCCAACATTTTGCTATACGCATTTTAAGCCAAACATGTAGTGGTGCTGCAGGGTACAATTTGAAGAGGAGCTTGGCCGAGAAGTTACTCAACAAGGGGAGGAATCCGATAGAGCAAGAGAGGCTGGCTGCAATGGTGTTTGCGCACTGCAACTTGCAACTCCAAAATTTTAATCAAGGTATAGCATCTTACTTAGGAACTGCTGCCATTGACCCCATGGACGACTGGGTGGTTGACAAAGCAGCACCTGTTGTGTCTCGAAGCAATGAAGAGGAGAAAGAATTTACATGGAAGGAATTGGATTGTGGGAACATAATAGGTGGTAGAGGGGAAGGTGATCCAGGACCGTCTAATTTCCATTAACAGCGTTAGCCTATATTGTTCTGACTTTTGGGAAGGCTAAGCAAATTGTAGACCGTGTAATTTTTCTCAGTACAATTCTATATGTTATCGTCCGTTGTGTCTAGTTATATTTTTAGTTCAATTTAGCATCTTCTCTTGAAGACATAGGTGTGAAATTTTTACATGATATAGATTTTTTAAAATTGTACTCCTTAAATAGAATTATATAGGTCCCGTCGAATTCTACCTTGGATGCAAATCTCTGAGTGGTTAGGAAGTATTTGATCTAGAATTTCAATTTTCTTTTTTTGCGTTGTTTTAGCTTAACTTTTTCAAGAATCATATTGGGGTATCTCACAGGCGGATTATGGGGTGCATCTTTTCTGGACAAAGCTTGCTGCATCACAAGTGTTGTGTGGCAATGGAAGCCATTTGGCTATTTGTTACCACGTTACTTTACCACACTGACTGGCCATTCCGATATTCTAATAAGGGCATCTACAGTAGATTACACTTCATATGCCACATTAGCATTTCACTATCTTTCCTTTTATTATATTCTCACAATAGATTACATTTCACATGATATAATAGTATGGGTTCACAATTAAATCAAACATTTATGTTAATAATGCACAACTCATATTCCATAAATAAATAAAGTAAAATTTTTAAAAATAATTTCGTTATTTTTAAAAAATAAATTAACTTTCATTAAATTTTTAATCGTTTGGATTTTTTATTTTCTAAAAAATAATATTATTAATTTCTGAGTTTGAACAATAAATCTTTTTCTATCTCTCAAAAAAACAATATGTTGCTATTTTCTGAAAAATAATTATATAATTATTAAACAAATATATGTGATATCTCAAGTATGAAAATATTATATGTGATACCAAATTTATCCGTTGCAAAAAAAAGACCCACTATCTCCTCTTTCTCAGCCACAATGGCTAGCCGTGTAATGAGTCCTTGTCATGGGACATGCCATTGGAGTTGCACTAGTAACTCATGTGCTTTGCACCTGAACATACTTCTCAAAATATAAAACCTTTAATATACTCAATTTCTATGTAAAACTTTGATTGTTGGTATAATATTGACTAAGAAACTTGTATAATGGACAAGATTAAGTAATTGCCAGACAAATAATTTAATAAACTATGACAAAAGAAGCAGATCTATTTCGTTAACCAAATTGGTTAACAATTTAAAATATACTATAACAAAATATATTTTATTAGAACATAATTTCAACATTATAATATTATAATATTAGTTAATATATTCAATATTACAATTTTAGTTAATAATATTACAACATTAAAATATATCTCAATATTATAATGTTAGTTAATAATATTACCAATTCTTTACTTGGCAGATCTCTTGAGTTTTTTTTTTTTTTTGAAAATTCTCTTTTTGTATACAAAGCAATAAAAAGTTTATTGTGCATTCTACAATTACAAAATCTCTAAAGATGGAAAATTATCATATTTAAGCTAAGTTATTGGCATAATATTCACAAAGAAACTATATAATGAACAAAATTAAATAATTGCTAGTTGTACAAAATGTTTTATTGTGTACATAGTAATTAAAAGTTTATTGTGTATTTTACAATTACAAAACTCTGAAGATGGAAAATTATCAAATCTCAACAAAGTTATTGCGTATCTTACTTGGATTGCAACAATAAGAAGAGGAAATTTTCTATAAATTGTCAAACCAGTACATACAACAATTTTTGAGAAAAATATATGCTAAAACATTCTCATTTGAATACAACAAATTTTTTATCAAATTTAGTAGTTGTAAACCTTTTCTATTAGTACTTTTTATAATTATCAATAGTTTTTTTTGTAGTTTTCTTAAACGATACAACATAATAGAGTGAAGTAATCATCAATTTAACCTTTTGTCTTCTCATTAATTGTGTATTACTTTTTGTCTTCTAATTAATCATGTTCTTCTTCTTGCATAACAATGCAATAATTAGAGATAATTTTGAAACACTCAATAATTGAAGATGAGGGAAATGATTCATAAACATAGTTGTAAATGGGCAGTTTCTAATTTTAGTTACCGACATTTTTGAGATGTAATTTATTGAAACTTTTAATTTTTTTATTAGTGTCATGATTGTTATGCAATTACTCTAATTAAAAGATATGCAATAACTCTAATTAAAAGATATGAGGATAATTTAGACATAACAAAAACTAAGATCAAAATATTCTTATACTCTATTGCCAAGACTCATCATACATTTTATAGTAATGATAGTAATGATAACGATAATGATGTGTAATAACTTGTGAATTTGGAGGATCTTATTTCTTTCAGTTGGTTTAAAACTAATGGTTGTGAGAGCAAATATGTGCTTTGAGTGAGAATGTACTAGATTATATGGAAAGTAGAATTAGAATTCTGGAATCTCTCTTTTAAGTAAGTGAAATCTCAATTGAACTTTTGAGGGTTGTTATCTTTTTTGCCCATTTTTAGGAGGTTGTTTCGATGGTGTTAAAAAATTTTTTGTCTGTTTTTGGGACACACATTTGATAAGGGAGGAATTTTGCATGTTTACTGCACAAACTAACGCCCTGACAATGTCCAAATTTTCCTCATTAGAAACACAGAATATTAGGGCAAGTAATTAGTAGCAGAAAATCTAAATCCAATTTCAAATTAACTGTAGAAATAATTGCATGAATTCTAAAAGAGGAAGAAATATCCATAGCAGTAACAAGAATCAACTTAAATCTTATGGGTTATGCTTCCCTCCATTAGACCTAAATAAACATGATTATAATATCAAATCTGAAAATCCAAACCATTCATATTATATTTCTTTAGTTGCTTAAAGTATGAATTAATGTTCTATACACTGACAGTGTATGCACTACAGCTGGATCAATAACAAATAATCTGAATTTGAATTTGAAATCTAAAGTTTGTATATGTGTCATGCATCTAGTCGTAATAATGTATACACTGTTAGTATATATAAGATTTACTCTTAAAGTACATATAAAAATTGAAATTAAATTGCTTAAATTTTACTGTTGGATCAAACTTTACAACTTTCATCAATAATTTTGACCCATTTTGCACCATCAATGTCTGTGCAAATTAAATGACAAAATATTCATAGATGAGCTTGATTTTTGAGTATATCAAGCAGCTCATAGAAATAAAATTATTGACGCAAGTAGATCATTGTGAAAAAATTTAGTTGTATAAATAGAAAAATAAATAGATAAATGAAGAGAAAAGTAATGGAGACGATAGCATCCCCCATATCTTATAAGCTAGGACAACAACCATTTTGTAGAAACCTCCCCAATGCAAGGAATCCTGAAAATTGAGGGGTAACAAGGTATTAGGTGGGCGGTGCAAATAATCAAAATTATGCGTTTTAGATCTAAGTTCCAGAAAGTGCACGAGGTGCTAGTTGAGACATATTTTTAACAAAATTTAGACAGTTCAAATACAAGAGCCATAGCACATTTATCAAAAAATTATATATTTTCTTAAAATTTTTGAAAATTCAAACTAACACGATTCACATGCAAATTCAAATAATATACAATAGTCCATGAGTTATGTGAAATTAATAAGTCAAACTTACAAAATTTTTGTCATGTATTAGAAGATCTAAAATTTCATCAAATATCTGTTTCCAATTTTCAAATAGTGGGCAATTATAATAACAAAATTCATTTGCAAAGCACTTGAATTTCAAAAATATTTTCAAAAGGAGTACTCACCTTGGATTTTTTGATTTAATTTACACAATTACAAAATTAGTTGGGCTTTCAATTACTTGAATTAGTGAGATGGTATGAAAAATTTTGAGTCATTAGATCTACATAGATCAAGTTTACCCAGACGTTTGCTTTAATAGTAATTTTTACCCCCTTCAATATATTACTTAAAATAATGAGAAATTTTGTAACTCCCTTCATTTAGCGCCCCCTCCCCAACCCACAATTTAAACTCTAGCACTTATTGCATCGGTTACAAAACCGAAGTTGATTCTTACAAATTCCTTGTGTGCAATTGCATCCAACTAATAGAAATTAGATTGGTTATTCGCTCTTATCATTTCCTCCTTGTAATAGTTAATTCTCTTAACACCATCAAAACCTTTCATCTTAAAAATTGATTTGGTTAAAACAAAAATGGTCATTCCCCCAATGAATTGCTGCACTAATTAATTGATGCCATTGACATCATACTCAAATCCCTCATGTCAATCTATGTAATCGTAGTTAATTTTGGGCTTATCATAATACCTCAAAGTTTTTTCTCCTTTTTTTGCTCGTTTTCTCATTACTAATAGCCATTTATTCGTAATTAACTCAAGAATAATAATTGTAAACTCATCCTTCGTTAAAATTCATGCTAATCACTTATACTATTCTTTGTGACAGTATCGAGCCAACGGGCAGCTAAAACAGGAAATAAAACTACCAAAATCAGTGAAACGATAAATGGAGTTTAATGAACCGGTAATTGAGCTCAATAATCCAATATTTCATTCAAATAACAATACTTAGATACAGAGGGGATGGTTACAGAGAAGAAGATGATAAGAAGGAAGGAAGGAAACTTGGGGACGGAGAAAAAATAGAATGAGAGAGAAACTCCCAAATCACTAACAATTACCTGTATATTCACACTTCATACAAGCAGGAACTTAATACATATGCTACGGCTGAGCTAACTAACATGTAACAGACCCAATGGAAATTCTTGCTCCACTCACGACTTTAACACCTGGAACAACCTCTTTTACTTGATCACCAATTCTGAACTCCACTCCATGACGATAGCTCCCTCTGCAGTTAATCTTGTCCTCAAGATTGAAATTCAGGATACCATTGCTCAACGGTTTCAGCATCTTCCCACGTAGCCTCTGCAAGAGAAGTTGCCCACCATTGAACCAGCCATTGGACAGCTGCAGCATTTCTCCTGTTGACAATTCTTCGATCCAGAATAGCTATGGGTTCCACCTTCAGATGTCCCTTCTCATCTATGCTAGGTAGTTGTAGTACTAGTGCTGCCCCTGGCCTATCTTTTTCTTCAGTAAGGACACATGGAATACA